GGTCTCGATCTCTTGACCTCGTGATCGAGACCATCCTGGTCAACATGGTGAAACCCTGTCTCTACTAAAAATACAAAAAATTAGCTGGGCATGGTGGCGCGTGCCTGTAATCCCAGCTACTCAGGAGGCTGAGGCAGGAGAATTGCCTGAACCCAGGAGGCGGAGGTTGCGGTGAGCCGAGATCGCGCCATTGCACCCCAGCCTGGGTAACAAGAGTGAAACTCTGTCTCAAAAAAAAAAAAAAAGGAAGCAGTTCAAAAGCTTCGTCTGCTGTGATGTCCCCAGGCAGAGGTGCTTGCCCCAGGACTTTGTGTGTGAGCTCTATCTGATTTATCCCTCTGGACTGCAGTTATTTGTTCACCCTGTTATCTCCCCAGCCAACGTACAGGTTTTTTGAGGGCAAGGTTGGTCTATGTCATGTTCATCGCCCCCCCAATGCTTAGCACAATGCCTGAGTCTAGCAGGGCCACAAGTGTTTACTGGATACAGACAAGATGTTCCCTAGACTTTCGATTCCATCTCCATTTGCTAAAGGCATCCCTATCCCCACGCTCAGCACGGGGCCTCCCATGCAGCTGGTGCACAGTCAGTGCATATGAACTAGCTGACAGGTTAATCAGAGGAAGATCGGATCAAGGAAGTACCTTACTTAAGCTCTCCTCTCCCCACCCAGCGTTCTGAAACATGCAGCTAGAGGTGAGAGAGGGGCCCGCTGCGAGCTGAGCTTTGTAGCTAAGACCTGAGTGGTGTTACTTGGACTGCTGGAGTACAGAAGAGCAGGATGGCCTGGTTACCATGGCAACCCAAGCTTGCTCTAGGGCAGCTGGTGTTCAGATCTCATTTGGACTTCGAGATGCAGTGGAGAGCCTGATATAACGATGGTTCAGATGCCATGCAAATCCAAATAATCCCCTCACGCATTTGGCCGCTAGAGGCAGGCATGTGGGTGCCAGGTTATATGAACTGCAAGCTGGACTGTGATCATTTTAGGAATGGGAGATGCTGATTCAGCTCCAGTCTGGGAGAGAGTTCCCTCGAGGACAGGGGCACATGCTTTACAGGTGCCACTGAGGCCATTTGTGCCACTGTCTGCTGATCTATTAGCGTCAGTGGCTTGCTGGTGATGCAAGGCACAGCTGGGAGCCAGAATCCTGGACTCAGGTTAAGGAAGGTGTCAGGAGAGCACCTGGAGGGGGACCCCAAGGCTCCCCCACAGATTACCTGTGTGATTATGGGTGAGTATCTTGGGCTCCCCAAGACTCCACGCCCTGTCCATCAAGTGGAGGACCACAGAATCTACCCCATAATGCTGCTGAGGGAACTTCGGAGCCTCACAGGGTGCCCAGCACACCACAGCCCTCAACAAAGGATTGCTCTGGAACATGTGCTGGGTCACCTTGGAAGAGTCACCACCTTCTTCAGGACTCTGTTCCCAGAGCACATATTATCCAGGGTTCCTTCCACTGCTGACGCCAAAACTCCGGGTGTTTGCTGTGTGCTCATCCAGTACCCTTGTGGTGCCACACAGGCCACGTGCCCCACGCACCCAAAGACTTCCTGGGGGCAGGGGGAGCCTCCCTTCACTTTTGGATTTCATTTCACTTTCTTCAAAATGCAGGGTGCTTTTTAGAAACCAGATTGCTCGGCCTCATGTCTGTAATCCCAGCACTGCCCAAGGCAGACAGATCACCTGAGGTCAGGAGGTCGAGACCAGCCTGGCCAACATGGTAAAACCTCATCTCTACAAAAATTAGTCGGGCATGATGGCGGGTGCCTGTAATCCCAGCTGCCCAGAGGCTGAGGTGGGAGAATGGCTTGAACGCAGGGGACTGAGCTTGCTATCGCAGTCTAGCCTGGGTGACAGAGCAAGACTCTGTCTCAAAAAACAAAAAGCCGGGCTCACACCTGTAATCCCAGCACTTTGGGAGGCCACAGTGGGTGGATTGCCTGAGGTCAGGAGTTTGAGACAAGCCTGACCAAGTGATGAAACCCTGTCTCTGCTAAAAATACAAAATCAGCCGGCCGTGGTGGCACACGCCTGTAATCCCAGCTACTTGGGAGGCTAAGGCAGGAGAATCGCTTGAACCCAGGAGGTGGAGGCTGCAGTGAGCCGAGATTGTACCACTGCATTCCAGCCTGGGCAACAGATTGAGACTCCGTCTCAAAAAAAAAAAAGAGAAAAGAAATCAGATTGCTCTTTTCCTCACTGTAGCAGTAAGCTTAGTCCATGTGGGAAATGGCACCGTCTCTTGCTGTCCTGCCCTTGCCTGGCACACTGACCTCCTTGAAAGTCCTGAGACCTTAGTACCTCAGCAGGCTCCCCTCAGTACCTTCCCTTCTCATTTCTCCTCTGCTTGAAGACATTCCTACTTCTTTCTTTCTTTTTTTGAGACAGGGTCTCGTGCTGTTGCCCAGGCTGGAGTGCAGTGATATGATCACAGTCCACTGCAGCCTCCACCCTCTCGGCTCAAGGGATCCTCCCACCTCAGCCTCATGAGTAGCTGGGACTACAGGTGTGCATTACCAGGCCTGGGTATTTTTTTTTAATTATTATTTTGTAGAGACATTATGTCTTACTAGGTTAACTAAGCTGGTCTTGAACTCCTGGGCTCAAGCAATCCTCCTGCCTTGGCCTCCCAAAGTGCTGGATTCCAGGCGTGAGCCCCTGTGCCCAGCTGTTCCTTTGTATTTTGAACCTGTTATTACATGTTTCTCTTGTTACTTTAACTATTTAACTCATCTGTCTCTCCCACCCGCCCCTGAGCTTCTCAAGGATAGGGATTATGGATTATTCATGTCTATATCCCCAAATGTATCACATGGTAGGTGCTCTACAAACATTTGTAGAGTTGAATCAAATGGACTATGTGGGGTGTACACTTGTGCAAACAGACTGAGTTTCTTTTCTGATAATTTCATTTTGGTGTAAGTTTGTTTTCAGTTTAAGTAGTCAAAACATTTGGATAGGTATTCTTTTTTCTCAGATAGGTATTCTTGAGTGGACTAAAATTAACTTTTAATTGATTTCTAGTGCCGTTGCTGCAAAACTGAAAATCTAAAAGATTTTTTCCTTTTTTTTTTTGAGACGGAGTCTTGTTCTGTCGCCAGGCTGGAGTTCAGTGGCGAAATCTCAGCTCACTGCAACCTCCGCCTCCTGGGTTCAATTGATTCTTCTGCCTCAGCCTCCCGAGTAGCTGGGATTACAGGTGTGCGCCACCACACCTGACTAATTTTTGTATTTTTAGTAGAAACGGGGTTCCACCATGCTGGCCAGAATAGTCTCGATCTCTTGACCTTGTGATCCGTCTGCCTTTGCTTCCCAAAATAATGGGATTACAGGCGTGAGCCACCGCGCCCAGCCAGATTTTTTCCTTTAATAAGAGTCTGAAGAAGAGAAAGAACAAAGGTGGGGAAATGCTTTTTTATCTACCTCCTTTCCTGTGCCTTTTTAGGGTTAACACAGTGCCTTAAGAGCTAACACAAAAGGGCAAAGTAAGTCTCCATAAAAGCCGGAGAAGACGCTGTGAAGCTCCGTTCGGGATCCTGTCTGGAGTCACAGCTGGAAAACAAAACCAAAACAAAAAACCAGAAACACATTTATCTGTTAGGAATGAAGAAACTAGAAGAAGCAGAAAAGTAAAAACGATTTTCAGATTTAGTTTCTTGTTCTTCCGGAAGGAGGAATTTAAACATTAGGGAGGCTAATTTATTTCCCCTTTTTACTTTGGGTTTCATAACTCAACAATCTCCCCTGAGGCCCCAGGTGAGAACAGTGAGTTAGCTATGAAGGCAGAAATAAGTTACTAAAGATCTTAGGTGGTTAATATTAACTTCCTTTTCTTTCGTGAATAAACCATATCATCTGGGATTAATGGATGAAACCCAGAAAACTATTAACTAAACCAGAGATTGGCAAACTTTTTCTGTAAGGGCCAGATGGTGACTATTTCTCAGCCACATGATGCAAAAGCAGCCAGAGAAACAGGCAAACAAATGAGCGTGTAGCTGTGTTGCAATAAAACTTTATTTACAGCAACAGTTGGAAGTCAAATTTAGCTTGCTGGCTACAGATTTCTGACCCCTGGATGCAGCATTCCGCTTTCAGGTCTAAGTATTCCCATTCTCTCAAACACACCGTCTTAGCTCAGCGTGCTGTAACAGAATACCACAGACTGGATAGCTTAAACAAGAAACGTTTCTTTCTCACATTTCTGAAGGCTGGGAAGTCCAAGACCAAGGTGCCAATGGGCCCAGTGTCTGGCAAGGGCTGTCTTCCTGGTTTGCAGACAGCCTTCTTCTTGCCACATCTTCTCATGTGCCGAGAGAAGAGAGGGGTGAGCTCTCAGGTCTCTTCTTATATGGACACTAATCACAGTCACGAGGGCTCCACCCTCATGACCTAATTACTTCCCAAAGACCCCATCTCCTAATGCCAGCACACCAGGGATTAGGATTTCAACCAATGAATTTTTGAGAAACACAAAACTTCAGTCCATAACCCATGCCATGCTTATATAAAAGGAAGAGATGCCTACCAAAGCTGTAAGGTCCATATGGCACAGTGACCAAATTATTATTATTGTTATTATTATTATTATTTTGTTTTGAGATAGAGTCTCGCTCTGTCACCCAGGCTGGAGTGCAGTGGTGTGATCTTGGCTCACTGCAACCTCTGTCTTCTGGATTCAAGTGATTCTCATGCCTCAGCCTCCAGAGTAGCTGGGATTCAGGCGCGAGCCACCACTTTGTATTTTTAGTAGACACAGGGTTTCGTCATGTTGGCCAGGCCGGTCTCCACCTCCTGGCCTCAAGTGATCTGCCTGCCTCGGCCTCCCAAAGTGCTGGAATTATAGGAATGAGCCACAGCTCCCGGCTGTGACCAAATTATGAGTGAAAAAACCCACACCTCTCAGGACTGGAAAGATGTCAGATGAGGCCAGGCACAGTACTTCACACCTGTAATCCCAGCACTTTGGGAGGCCAACGCAGGTGGGTCACCTGAGGTCAGGAGTTCGAGACCAGCCTGGCCAACATGGTGAAATTCCATCTCTACTAAAAATACAAATTAGCTGGGCGTGGTAGTGCATGCCTGTAGTCCCAGCTACTCATGGTTCTGCAGGCTGTACAGGAAGCATGGCTGCAGAGGCCTCAGGAAACTTACAATCATGGCAGAAGGTGAAGCAGAAGGCAGTACATCCTATACAGCTAAAGCAGGAGGAAGTGGGCAGGGAGACACACTTTTAAACAACCAGATCTCATGAGAACTCACTCACTATCACGAGAACACTGGGGGAATGTCCACCCCCATGATCCAATCACCTCCCACCCGGCTCCTCCTCCAACATTGCGGGGAATACAATTCAACATGAGACTTGGGCAGGGACACAAACCCAAACTATATCAGTCACCCCGCCTACATGGTGGCCCTGGATAACAGGAATAGTTCCTCATATTCAGAGCTCAGCCGGTCTATTCTGCTAGGTTTGTCATTTATTTGGGTACAGATAGCATAATGAAAGGACCATGAGGTCCTGACAGACAGTGGCTCAAATCCTAGCTTTGGCTGTCCCTGGCTTCACCTTACACCAGCTGCTCACTCTTCGGAGCCTCAGTGCTGCCATCCATAAAATAGAGGGAGATAATATCTACCTTACAAGGTTGCTATGAGGCTCATGCAACAAGCCACAGTCAGTAAAGGGTTGGGGCAGGGCCTGGCGGCCTCTCAGGAAGCATCAGTTGTCCCTGTTGGGTGGAGGTTGACTGCTCGGTGAAGGGCAGACGATCATGCAGCCAGGGGGACTTGTACAAATGTGCACAGACATTAATCAGTAATCCCCGTGAGCAGGCTGGGACTTCAACTCCACTTACTGAGTTCAACAGCTATAATTAAAGAGCTAAGAGATGCTTTTAATATTTAACCTAGGCCTTAACTAGAGCACTCTATTCCTTTGAGCTGATTAATTGACTGGTTGGTTCTCAGATCTCTAATGAGAAGAAGGAACTTAAGCATCTTCCCAGGTGTCCGGGACCGCGGGCTGCATGCGTGCAGAGGTGGCCATCCCCACGGGGCAGCTTCCGCATTAGAGAAGCTGCTACCCACGGTGTGGCGAGTTGAGCTTAAAGTTGGACATTTTGTATTTGTTGCACACTCTTTTTAGCCAACAGTATTGCTGGTTAAAAAGTTTAAAGGTAACCCCTGTAATAAATATTACATGTTAATGGCCAAATTTACACACACTCAATGCCTTTTCCCAGCACTGCCCTTCCTCTCCCTCTCACACCTTGTCCTCAGGGTGATAAATATCCCCAACAAAGCCTAGAGTCCAAGTATGTTTTGAGTGGCCTCTAAATCTCACACTCAAAAACTGGCTTCATGGACAGGGCAGTCAGCTCACAGCTCATCCTGTGTAGCAGATTTGCAAGGAGAAGGAAGCTTACGTTCACCGAGGCCAGTGGCTGTGGACACTGTACTGGACAGTCCTGGTGCTTGGCCTGTCCACAGACCATTCTCAACTGCTGTGTGCACAGCCTGGAGAAAGGCCAGTCCTTCCACACAACCATCGTCTTAGTTGGTGGGCCAGGGATGGGCACCTGAACCTCCAGTAGATCCAGTTCAGGGCGGTCAGCTTCCTGCCTGCTCAGCTAATCAAAGCCTGTCCATTAAAAGCTCCACCCCACCCCACCCACATAGCCCCCTCCAGTCTAAATTCCTAGCCAGAGTAAAAATCCAATGGGAAAAGAGTTTTTTGTTGTTGCTGTTTTGTTTTATTTTGGTTTGGTTTGGTTTTTTTGAGACGGAGTTTCACTCTTGTTGCCCAGGCTGGAGTGCAATGGTGCGATCTTAGCTCACTGCAACCTCCACCTCCCAAGTTCGAGCGATTCTCCTGCTCAGCCTCCCAAGTAGCTGGGATTACAGGCATGTGCCACCACGCCCGGCCTGGGAACAGAGTTTTATATACACAGCCGGAGAGTATGAAACCACATCAGCTACCTGGCCATTTTTTTTTTCTTAAATATAAGCAGGAGTTGGTGGGGGGTGATGCCCTTTTCCCATGTAAAGATCTTAATCACTCCTTAGGACCGATGACCACTTCTCACTCCCACCTCCTTTTTTTCTTTTTTTTAAGATGGAGTCTGTCACTGTTGCTCGGGCTGGGGTGCAATGGTGCGAGCTCAGCTCACTGCAACCTCTGCCTCCTGGGTTCACGCAATTCTCTTGCCTCAGCCTCCCGAGTAGCTGGGATTACAGGTGCACAACACCATACCTGGCCAATTTTTTGTATTTTTAATAGAGACAGGGTTTCACTATGTTGGCCAGACTGCTCTTGAACTCCTGACCTCATGATCTGCCCGCCTTGGCCTCCCAAAGTGCTGGGATTACAGGCGTGAGCCATGGGCCACTCCCGCCTCCCTTTTTTTTTTTTTTGAGACAGAGTGGCATGATCTCGGCTGACTCCAATCTCCGCCTCCCAGGTTCAAGCGATTCCCTTGTCTCAGCCTCCTGAGTAGATAGGATTACAGGCATGCGCCACCATACCTGGCTACACTCCCGCCTCCTTTTATACCCACTGACCGAGTCCCGGAGTCTCATCTGTCAATTCATTGACCCTGTTTCCTCTCCGGCGTCTGAAATGACATCGACTCCAATTTCTAGGCCTGTGTCATCTGGCAGTTCTCTACTGTCAGCTTCCCATCTTTCAGAAATGTGTTGAAACCTCTCATTTGTGATTTTCCCTCCTTCTTACAACTCCTCCTCTAGCCCTTTTTCTTTTAACTTAATTCCAGCAAAGTCTCAAGTACCAAGAAAAGCCAGCTCTGCATCCGATCTGCTGTTTTGAGCCAGAAGCCAGCAGATGTCTCTAAACAATGAGAGCTAATGGTCAAGTAATGGAAAGTATGCATTGTAAAATCTAGTTTCTACCGTTTGTTTAGATGGGGTACAAGTCATTCTCATTTTACAGTCAGGATTTTTTACAGTGTTATAGAACAAGCCAAACCAGCCATGACCTGGAGCTGCCAACCCTGAGGACCTCAGATATCTTATTTCTGAGTAAATATTGAAAGGAATTCTGTAACTCATTAATTGTCCTTAATGAATAATGGTGACTTGCCCTTAAATTTTGTTTTCCCCTCTTGACGCTGAAACCATGAAACCAAATGCAAAAGCTTGGACACTCTGGAAAAAGACAATAGCCCTTATGTGGGCTGCCGCTGCACAAACAGATCAGCATTCATGAATAGCACTGTGACTCTCTCCAGTTACCGATTAAGCATTAAAAATAGAAACATGGCTTGCTTATGTTTCAAATGCCATCTCATTTGTCACCAGAGGCAAATACTAGCCGTCTGCATATTCATAAGAACCAGCAACTGCACAACATAATGGCTTGGGAGTGCCATGAACGGTGGGAACTGCAGCCTATCTGAGCAGGGAGAGTGGATCTGCGGATCCTGAAGCAGGGGCCCTGGAGTGGGGTTTTGAAAGGTGGGTTGGTTTGGCAGGCCACTGTAATGACTGGTCCGCGAGTCATGGTCAGAGGAACTGGCTTCATCTCCACATAGATGCCAGGCTACTCCTGCAGCCAAGGAAAACTCAGGCACCCAAGCCCTTCTGAAAACTATCGGCAACTGTGGTCCTCTTCCAAAGTTTGTTTACGGAACGGAAGTTCTATTTCCCAAGAGTTAAGCAGAGAGCTCCAAACTGGGCTTCACCTTCCACCCACATCACCAGCACCCACAGCACTGTTATTGCAGAAAACAGTCCTTCAGCTGCAGGCGTGGCTGTGGGACATTTTCTTAAGAAGGATTACGCCCCATTTCAGTTCTCCAATATTCCTGGGACGTTGCTAACTCTTTCGAACAGATTCTTGTTTATTTCTACAGACGATTTTAGGAGCATTCATCATGTGGGAAGCTTTTATGTTGTTTGCTTATTATGGGAAGCTTCTAATAAAATCAATCTGGATTTTCAGCATATTTGATGGAAGCCAGGTCTACAAATGTAGCAGATTTTAAAATGTTCTCTCAAAGTGGAAAGAATGTAGGCTCTGGCATTCCTCTCGCTGAAGCAGATCTAATGACAAGTTTTGGGAAACAGTGTTGGAATCAAGAGTGGCCAGAAAAATTGGTTGCCCTGGGAGGTGAACACAGGGAGCTGTGGATGTATTTAAATGTGAGTCACATGACTAGCTTCTACTTAGGCAGAAGCAAAACATGTGTTTCTTTAAATGATTAAACTGAGTTGAACTCAAGAAAAATCTCGTTTCCCTCTAAATGTTGTTGTTCTTTAGCGCTTTAAAGAGTTTCAAGGCCGGGCGCGGTGGCTCACGCCTGTAATCCCAGCACTTTGGGAGGCCGAGGCGGGTGGATCACGAGGTCAAGAGATCGAGACCATCCTGGTCAACACGGTGAAACCCCGTCTCTACTAAAACTACAAAAAATTAGCTGGGCATGGTGGCGCGTGCCTGTAATCCCAGCTACTCAGGAGGCTGAGGCAGGAGAATTGCCTGAACCCAGGAGGCGGAGGTTGCGGTGAGCCGAGATCGCGCCATTGCACTCCAGCCTGGGTAACAAGAGCGAAACTCCGTCCCAAAAAAAAAAAAAAAAAAAAAGTTTCAAGATGAGATTTGTTTTCTTTTCCTTTTTTTTTAAAGACGGGGTTTCACCATGTTGGTCAGGCTAGTCTTGAACTCCCGACCTCTGGTGATCCGCCCACCTTGGCCTCCAAAGTGCTTGGATTACAGGCGTGAGCCACCATGCCCGGCCTGAGATTTGTTCTCTTAAAGTGAAAATTTATATCAATAGCTTCCAAAGGAGACACATCTGTGGACTTAAAGCACCCAGATGACGTTATTGGGAAAGTTCAGCGGAAATTCCATTTTCACAATTATTCTGGAAATAATTGTTTGGCCCCATGACCTATACCTGGATGGTTAAGACAGCACATCAAAAACAAACAAAAAAATGGAGGGGGAGCCTTGGCACAGTGGCTGACACCTGTAATCTCAGCACTCTGGGAGGCCGAGGCAGGTGGATCACCTTAGATCATGAGTTCAAGACCAGCCTGGCCAACATGGTGAAACCCCATACTCTACTAAAAATTCAAAAATTAGCCAGATGTGGTAGTGTGCACCTGTAATCCCAGATACTCAAGAGGCTGAGGCAGGGGAATTGTTTGAACTAGGGAGTTGGAGGTTGCAGTGAGCTGAGATCATGCCACTAGACTCCAGCCTGGGTGACAGAGAGAGACTCCATCTCAAAAAAAATTTTTCTTTTTTTTTTCATTTGTTTTCTTTTTTTTTTGAGACAGAGTCTCTTTGGTCGCCCAGGCTAGAGTGCAGTGGTGAGATCTCAGCTCACTACAACCTCTGCTTCCTGGATTCAAGCGATTCTCCTGCCTCAGGCTCCAGAGCAGCTGGGACTATAGGTACCCTTCCCCACGCCATGCTAATTTTTGTATTTGTAGTAGAGACAGGGTTTCGCCATATTGGCCAGGCTGGTCTGGAATTCCTGACCTAAAGTGATATGCTTGCCTTGGCCTCCCAAAGTGCTAAGATTACAGCATTATTTATTTATTTATTTAATGAGACAGAGTCTGGCTCTGTTGCACAATCTCGTGGCACGATCTTGGCTCACTGCAACTTCCACCTCCCGGGTTCAAGTGAGCACGTCCGGCTAATTTTTGCATTTTTAGTAGAGACGGTTTCACCATGTTGGTCAGGGTGGTCTCAAACTCCTGACCTAAAGTGATCTGCTCACCTCAGCCTCTCAAAGTTGGGATTACAGATGTGAGCCACCACGTCTGGCCAGATCATAAATACTTGCTAGTTCTCTCTTAATACAAATAAATGGATGTGGATTTGAGTCCCATTTTTATTCCATTTTCTTAGGCATATGGTTTTTAATGTCTACCTCTGAAGTGATAAAATAGTAAAATTTCAAGTCCGTGGTTGGGAAAATTTAGTCGAAATTCCATTTTCGCAATTATTCTGGAATCCAGTCAGTATCAGAGTTAATGTCAAGTCAAGATAGGTGAGTTAAACCCAGGAGTTTTGAATTGCCCTGCCTTGGAAAGGCTGCAATTTAAAGCAGGGAGGGCAAGGGAAGGAAATAATCACCTCTAAGAAAAATACAGGACCAACCAACAGGAAGGCTCGCTGGGTTTGAATCCGACAGCTTTGGAGCGTTTTGTACCGTTCTGGGCTGTGGTTAGTTCACTTGAAAAGAAAAGTGGTTAAGGAAAAAAAAAAACAACATTCAAGACCAAAAGCTAGACTTATGACCACCACCTACTGGTATTTCCTTTTGCTTTGCCCCTGGGGCTTGGGCGGGGTTGCTTTCTGTTTCTCCCTCATTTTAAAAGTTTTTGTTTCCCAAAAGTAATTACTATTTGGGGGTTTTGATGAGGCTCAACCTTCACACATCCAGTCTCCGCTGGGGCTACAGAGGGAAGGGGAAGGCCGGAGGGGACCGTCGGTGCCGGTAGGATCGCCCCTTCCCCCTCGGGGCGTCTCAGGCCTGGCGGACACTGAAAGAGCGGGGCGCACTGAGGGCCCGACCCCGCGAAGGCAGCGCGCGCAGCCCTCGGGATCTTACCCCCACTCACCCCACGCATCGCCAGAGGACTCAGGCGCTGGGAAGTCCCCCCCTCCTCCCGCCGCCTCCCACGGACCGGGCGAGCGTCGTCTGGGGACGACGTTTCCATAAATGAACAAACCCAGCCGGGGCCCCCCTCGTGTCCAGCTCTTCCACGCGGCTGGGACAGGGCCGACCGGAGGGCGGGGACTGAGGGGGCCCGTGGGCGGGACTGGGGGGACGGCGGGGGGAAACCCGGGAGGGGAGGCCGCGCCAGCACCCGGTGCCCCTCGCCGGGGTCTCGGGCCCGCCCCTCCCTAGGGCCGGCGTGCGCCCCCCCCACGGGACGCCCGTGCAGCCACCGCCTCGCCCGCCCCTCCCCAGGCCCGCACGCCAGCCCTCGGGCCGCGACCCCCGCCCCGGCGCCCCCGCCCCCGCCCCCGGCCGCGCCTTCTTTCCCGGCCTCGCCCCGCGCTCCCCCTGCAGCCCGCCCGGACCGCACCCCCAGCGTCCCCGCCCCCGGCCGCGCCCCCGCACGAGGCCTGCTCGGCGGTCCGGGGGGCGGCGGGAGCGTCATGGGCAGCGGCAGCAGCCGGAGCGGCCGGACCCTGAGGCGGCGGCGCAGTCCTGAGAGCCTCCCTGGGGGGCCCGGCGCGGCAGTCCCCGAGGGCGGGACTGGCCGGCGGGTGCCAGCGGCGGCTGAGGCCCCGGGGGCAGCCGCGGAGGAAGCGCCCGGCCGCGACCCCAGCCCCGAGGCGCCCCCCGACGGCAGGGACGAGACGCTGCGCCTGCTGGACCAGCTGCTGGCGGAGTCTGCGGCCTGGGTAGCCCCGGAGCCCGCCCCGCGCCGCCCAGCCCGGCCCCGACCCGCCGCGGGCGAGGGGAGCTTGGTGAGTGTGGGAGCGCGGGGCCTCGGGGGGACAGCGGGGACCCCACTCGCCGGCTGCGCGTCCCCACCCCAGCCCGTCGCGCCGGTCGCGCTGAGCCCCATCCCCGCCCCCGGCCAACCCGCCCCGAGCCCCCTGGTCTCCTCCCCCTCTGCCCAGTCTCGGGCTGTGTCCAGGCCTGGGGGCGATCGCGCTGGGAGCGGCCGGGGCGGACACCCCTAGATGGAGTGTGCCAGCCTCTGGCTCCCCTCGGGCCAGCACTCCCGCCTGGCCTTCCCGGGCCACCCTGGAACGGCGCGCGGGAGGTGGCACGGCCGCCGGACTGTGGCTCAGAAGCGCTTGCCGCGCCCACCCATCCAGATCCTCGCCTTACTTGGCAGGCAATTCTCATGTTACTGCTGTTTTTAAGACGCTGCGGAACCTCTTTTGCGCTTCCTATTCTGTCTCGTGAACACTTGTAATAACAGTCTTGCTGTTCTAAAAAACAATAAAAGGAGCACTCTGGTTTGGCCACCGCCTTTGCTCCAGCAGAGCTTAATGAACAAGATCTTTAACATCCGCTCCTGGGCGCAGGGAGGATGCCAAGGGCCGCATCCTCCTCCCTGGTGTCCCGGAGGCTTTGCTTAGCAGCCGCTGGACATCAAAGGAGATGCCTTCTTGGGCGGCCACCGCACCCCAGAATCCTGAAAAGGCCCCAGGGAGGGTGGGGGAGAGGGACAGCCCCAGGCGACAGTGCACAGAGCTCTCTCCCTCCTGCCCCGGTTCCCTGCTACCCTCCTTTACCATCTTTAAAAACAGCCTAGGGAGCCACAGTGAGGAGGGCTGAATTATATAACAAGGTTCCTTTAAGACAACATCAGCCTGCAGTTATGTAACACTGACAGTGGACAAATAGCTGAGAGATTTGGGGGGAATTCGCACAGAGCAAGGAGGCAGTTACTTTTAGTGTTCATTTTCAAGTGCTTTGGAAACTTGGAGGTGAAAATGAGAGGTAAACAGCAAGAGTGGAAGTTGTGTCCTCTGATTTGCTGCTATTCATCATGGTGACTGCTCATTCTTTCAGTCATTTTCCAGCTATCTTTTGAGCCCCGGTCCCGCTGTGGGTGCTAGGGAAGAGGCCACACAGCATAGCCCTTGCCCTAAAGAAGTGTGCAGCTCAGTGGGGGAGAAAGAGTCTCGTCCAAAAAGTAGAAAGCAGGGCGGTGAGAGATCCGCGTCAAGAGGCCAAAGGAGGAAGCGGCTAATCCCAAGGGAGGCAGGTAGGCATTCCAGAAGGGATGAATTTGGAAGTTGTCCCGAATCTGGAAGGGTCTGTGGATATGAGCCAGGCAGCAAGTTCTGTGCAGAGAAAACCTCGTGCCTAATGTCAGTCGTGGCTGGGGCAGCTGGTGCCCAGAGCATGGGCCAGAGAGGTCTTAAGAGAGTATGCCAGGCCACAGTGCGCCATGCCAGGGGTGTTCCACGTTAGGGAGTTTGGATTACTATGAAAGCTCCGGGCATCTGAAAGGTTAGGATTGTGACAGTTTGTGTTTTAGGAAGGTCACACCAGCTGCTGTGGGGAGGCTAAACTGGAAAGGGTCAGACTAGAGATGACATGACCACCTGTGTGTGGGGGGAAGGGCCTGCAGTGGTCCAGGTGGCCGAGTCCTGAGCCGAGGCAGTGGCCGTGAGAGGCTTGCAGAGGAGATGGGCTCAGGAAGTGTTGAAGTCAGCCAGCTGCAGTTGCCCTTCTGGGTGTAGACTGTGTATATCTTTTTTTTTTTTTTTTTTGAATCGGAGTTTCACTCTGTTGCCCAGGCCGGAGTCCAGTGGTGTGATCTTGGCTCACTGCAACCTGTGCCTCCCAGGTTCAGGCAATTCTTGTGCCTCAGCCTCGAGTATCTGGGATTATAGATACCCGCCACCATGCCTGGCTAATTTCTGTATTTTTAGTAGAGATGGGGTTTTGCTATGTTGGCCAGGCTGATTTCAAACTCTTGACCTCAGGTGACCCTCCTGCCTTGGCCTCCGAAAGTGCTGGGATTATAGGCGTGATCCACCACACTTAGCCAACTATGTGTATCTTCTGCACCATAAATATTTCTTGAATAAATCCTAGAACCACAGATTATTTGAGCTATAAGGGAGCCCTTGGGTCCAATTCATTATTTTCAGGTCTGGGGAGATGAAGTCAAAAGATTGCAGCCTCATCATTGACGGGCTCTGAAGGTTCTGCCCGTATACTTGAGTGTGGAGTTCATGCTTTTATGCTTTATAGATGACATCCCTTCGTTGATACTCTCTTAGTTGCACGTTTTACAGGACTCTGAGTTAACAAGACCCCATTGAGCTAGGAAAAACTTGGGAGATTGATGAGGCGGCATGGCAACCCATATGTAGAAGCTGGCCTTTCTTCAACGTGTTAGAAAGTTCTCAAGAACAGAGGAAAGGCTTGCTGAATTGCAGCCATAAATAACACTACATTTATTTATTTATTTACTGACGGAGTCTTGCTCTGTGGCCCAGGCTGGAGTGCAGTGGCATGATATAAGCTCACTATAATCTCTGTCTCTTGGATTCAAGTGATTCTCCTGCCTCAGCCTCACGGAAGCTGGGATTACAAATGTGCGCCACCACACCCCACTAATTTTTGTATTTTTTTTTTTTGGGACGGAGTTTCGCTTTTGTTACCCAGGCTGGAGTGCAATGGCGCGATCTCGGCTCACCGCAACCTCCGCCTCCTGGGTTCAGGCAATTCTCCTGCCTCAGCCTCCTGAGTAGCTGGGATTACAGGCACGCGCCACCATGCCCAGCTAATTTTTTGTAGTTTTAGTAGAGACAGGGTTTCACCATGTTGACCAGGATGGTCTCGATCTCTTGACCTCGCGATCCACCCGCCTCGGCCTCCCAAAGTGCTGGGATTACAGGCTTGAGCCACCGCACCCGGCTAATTTTTGTATTTTTAGCAGAAACCGAATTTTACCATGTTGGCCAGGATGGTCTTGAACTCCTGATCTCGGGTGATTCACCTGCCTCAGCCTCCCAAAGTGCTGGGATTACAAGTGTGAGCCACTGTGTCTGGCCAATAACACTACTTCTAGTTTCTTTAAAAAGAAAGGAGGAAAGGAAACCTTTTATACCTTCATAACTATCTAACATTTTGGAGGAGTGACATATTCTTCATAGGAGAACATCAAACTTCAGTGAAAGTTATTCTTTTAAGCACCCACATTTAAACATTTTAACCACTGTTGACTGGGAATGTCTTAGAGTCTGATTCTGTTTATCCCTGAATCATCATTCTGAATATTATATTTTGTTTTGTTTTTGTTTTTTGAGACAGAGTGAACAAAGAGGGATCGAGGTGGCAGGCACAGAAACTGGAGTTGTGCTGTGGGAGGGGAGCTTCTGCAGGCATCCAAGTGAGACTCGGGGTGGCTTGGACCAGGGTGGCAGGTGGTGGTGAGGGGCAGCAGGCTTACAGACTTACTAGTGGGGTGACTGTGGGATGTGTGAGGAAGAAAGGAATCAAAGGTGACCCCAGAATTCCTGGCTGGAGTGGCCGGAGGGATGTGGCTGCCATGCACAGACACAGAGAATGTGGAAGGAGCAGATTTGGGGTGTTGTGAACCAGGAAGTCGGTTTTCAGCATTTTTAATTTGAGATGCCTATCAGATATCCAAACAGAATATGTCACGTGAGTAGATCTGTGTATGAGTTTGACCTTCGGGGGAGAGGTCAGGCTTGGAGTTAATTTAGGAGCCATTAGAACATGGGAGAATTTAAACCCATGAGATTAGATGGGATCACCAGTGAGGATGCTGCCAGGGTGCGCTTGTGTGAACTAACGTGGGATGAGGCCAGGGGTTGAGCACGCTGTTCAAAGGCTGAGGAGATGGCAGCGTGCTTTTTTTTCTTTTTTTTCCTTTTTGTGGAGAACAGGGCCTTGCTATATTGCCCAGGCAGGTCTCAAGCCCAGGCAGAACTCCTAGGCTCAAGCTATCCTCCTGCCTCTGCCTCCCTAAGAGCTGGGATTACAGGCGTGAGCCACTGCACCCAGTGAAATGGGAGCATCCTAAAGAACAGCCAGTAAAAGGGGAGAGAACCAAGAGAAGGCAGCATCCGGAAGCCAAGGGAGGAAGGTGCCTAGGACGGAGGGTGTGCTCAGCCCCTGGAAGTGCTGCTTGCAGCTATAATGAGGGAAGCCTGAAAGCTGGTGGTGGAATGGAGCCACTAGGAGGTCTCAGGGTCCATCGTGAGAGATGGTCAGAGAGTGGTGGGGGTGCCTTGGGCTGGAGTTCATGGAGAACAGAACACAGGTGTGCGGGGCAGTCCGCTCTCGCTAGAAGGCTCGTTTTACAGCACGGCAGGAGTGTATGGTGGTAGGGATGGCTCTGCTGGACACGGAATTCACCAGAAAATGTATCCCAGAATGGGCTGGATAAGAGGTGGTTTTGAACATTAGATGCTCTCGTGAAAATCGAAGGAATCCTCGGAGAAGAAATTTTGGTTTAATCAAATAGACATAGATTCAGTATTTTTATTTATGTATTTATTTTTTTGAGACAGAGTCTTGCTGTGTCACCCAGGCTGGAGTGCAATGGCTCGACCTCAGCTCACTGCAACCTCCGCCTCTGAGTTCAGAGTGATTCTCCTGTCTCAGCCTCCCGAGTAGCTGGGACTACAGGAGCGCGCCACCACACCTGGCTAATTGTTTTGTATTTTTAGTAAAGACAGGGTTTCACCATATGGGTCAGGCTGTTCTGAACTCCTAACCTCAGGTGATCTACCCACCTCGGCTTCCCAGAGTGCTGGGATTACAGGCATGAGTCACCACACCTGGCCAGATTCAGTATTTTTACCAGCAGGTGGTACTTCAGACTGTTTTCCTCCCTTTGCCTATACACCTGGGTCACTCAAGATCAAGGGAAGTATGTTATCTGTGAATTTTTCTGATGCTGAGAATATAGCCCATTCATTGCAAGAAAGTCTCAGGCAATAGTGTCCTCTCCTTAGGCTAAGGG